AAAAAAAAAAAAAAATACTTGTGCTCATCCTAATATCACCTTAGATGTTTATAATTTTATTAAGTAGAATTTTCTTTAAAGATTATACACATATTAACAAACTAGAATTTAACATCTCAATTAAAAGAAAATTGATTCCTTGTTTGCTAAATTAACAGAGGTGTTTGTCACCAATACCAGAATATGGGAAAATATGCGAATGACAGGAAAAGATTTGTGTCACAGGTTTTAATTATCTTCTGTAAGTACAAACCTGAAACTGCAACAGTATAAAATACTGAATAACTCAAAAAAAGAAAAAATTACATTCAACAAACTATATTACTATCACAGCAAGAAATATTTTTAAGCTCAGGTTAAACAAAAGTTCCTATAAAATAATCATCCTGATTCTAGTAACTTTCATTGTCTCCATCACTTAATACCTACTTTCTCCCTTGACCCACAAGGGACCATGCTCAACAAAGTAGTTTTACTTTGTAGAAGGCAAATTAGGTCATGTCACTCCCCAATAGATCCCCTTCATACTCAGATTAAAGATTAAAATTATCACTGACTTATAAGGTCTTATTTCTCTCTGACCTTATCTTCTACCTCTCCCTACCCATCCTTTATTGTAGCCACATTGCCTTTCCTTCAGGTTCCTAAATATCCAAAAGGACTGCTTTTGAAAATTCCTTCAAGGCTCATCAGAGAGGTGTTCTGTGATTTCTTTATCTAAAAGATAAAAAAGAGTACTGGCTAAGAATTTATCAGTCATTCTTTCAATACATTTCAGAGCACCTAGTAGACACCAGATACTAAGAGTGAATGAGAGACTCTGCTATTAAGGAACTTAGCTAGTAGAAGAGAGATATCTAAGTATGCAATCATGTTTGGGCTTGATAAGCATGTCTCTTCTCAATTAGTCAAACCACTGTCTAAGGAGGATAGAGAAAGATATCCAAAGAAAGTAACATCGAAACTAAATCTTTCAGGATTGGGGCACCTGGGTGGCTCAGTCGGTTGAGCTTCTGCCTTCGGCTCAGGTCATGATCTCAGGGTCCTGGGATCGAGCCACACATCAGGCTCTCCACTCAGCAGCGAGTCTGCTTCTCCCTCTCCCTCTGTGATCGTTCACTCTCTCTCAACTAAATTAAAAAATCTTTAAAAAACTTTCAGGATCGATAGAGATTTAGATTTAACAAGGCAAAAGACAAAAAAAAAAAAAAGAAAAGAAAAGAAGAAAGAATGCAGGCAGAGACAAAAGCTCAGAGACAGTCAATAAAAGGCAAGCAATTGAGATAGTGGGTGGGTGCTAGCTTAGATTTGAGTTTTTCCACTTTCAATACCAGAAGAAATGTTTTTCTTCATAGGATAAGATCCCAAGTTGGAGCACTAAATACACTTCCCCATACAAATATTACTATCAATTTAGTAAGAGTCTTCAGTAAAACCTTTTGAGTTAACTAAACAATTGTGAGAGGATCAAACACACCCACAAACAGCATCAAGGAATTAGGAAAGCCGGGCTCTGGAAAGAGCAATTTCTAGCATTATTTAAGTCTATATTTTCCTATTACCTTACTGACATTTCACCTCTCCTGGTCAAATAAAGTGATGCAATATGAAACGCCACTTTGTATTTTTATAACGTTTTACAGTTCTCAAAGTACATCTACAATCAAAAGCTTATTAACCCCTCAAATTTGGGGACAAGGATAGATATTATACTACATCATATATGAGACTCAAGAAACAAATGATTTGGGGCGCCTGGGTGGCTCAGACGGTTAAGTGTCTGCCTTTGGCTCGGGTCATGGTCCCAGGGTCCTGGGATCAAGCCCCACATCGGGCTCCCTGCTGAGCGGGGAGCTTGCTTCTCCATCTCCCTCTGCCTGCTGCTTCCCCTGCTTGTGCACTCTCTCTCTCTGTCAAAAATAAATAAAATCTTTAAAAAAAGAAACAAAAAACAAATGATTTGCTCTTAGTTACGGTATAAATACATGAGAGAGTCAAATTTCAGGACTCTTGACTTGAATGTTCTCTGACTATTCCATCTTTACTAGAATGGGCTGTTAAAAATAAAAAAACCTGGTTGTCTTTTGTTCCCTGCAAGCTTTCCGTACAGTGCTGTGAATTGTGTAAGACTGATGAATCACAGACCTATACCTCTGAAACAAATAATACATTATATGTTTTTAAAAAAAAAAAAAGAAGATAGTAGGAAGGGAAAAATGAAGGGGGGGAAATCAGAGGGGGAGACGAACCATGAGAGACTATGGACTCTGAGAAACAAAATGAGGGTTCTAGAGGGAAAGCGGGTGGGGGGATGGGTTAGCCTGGTGATGGGTATTAAAGAGGGCACATACTGAATGGAGCACTGGGTGTTATACGCAAACAATGAATCATGGAACACTACATCAAAAACTAATGATGCAATATATGGTGATTAACATAATAAAGTACAATTTAAAAAATAAATAAATAAATAAAAAGTAAAAAACCTGGGGCACTTGGGTGGCTCAGCCGGTTAAGCGTCTGCCTTCAGCTCAGGTCATGAACCCAGGGTCCTGGGATCCAGGCTCCCTGCTCAATAAGGAGTCTGCTTTCCCTCTTCCTCTGTCCCTTCCCTCCACTTGTGCTCTCTCTCTCAAAAAATTAAATCTTTAAAAAATAAATAAAAAATAAAAAACCATGTTCTTGTAATGCTAATAATCTAGAAACATGGGTGATGACAGGAAACTGAGCTAACTGGTAGCACATTTTTGATTTGAAGAGATTCTTTTGATATATAATGGACTTTCTCCTAAGTACAAAACATTTTTAGGTATTATCCAATTATTGAAATACATCTTTAATAGATGAAGATTTAATATTATTTTAATTTTACATGTGAGAAAATTTAAAAATAGATCATAGATGACTCTCTTCTTGTTAACACAGCTGGCAGATGACAGAGCTGCAGCCAGAAATTAAGGAGCCAGATCATGACACACTCCCCCATTTTAATTTACAGACCAAATTTAGCTCTAAAAATAAATTCTCAGCTATCATTTCCTTCCCCATATTATCAGACAGACTCTCAACCTAAAAACTCAGAAAAAACCAACAACGATAGAGCTTCTAGAGGCCTGTGTTTCATATAATAACCATAGCCAGTGACGTAAACATACAAAGTCCTGGAAGTAGGTACCAACCAGAGTTTTCATTTGTCTTTACTGGGGCAAAGGGTTGGCAGGAATAATGGTGATTCCTTGCTACATGCTGCATTATGCATTGGTGAGGTTACTTGGTTTTTAAAAAGGCTACTTGGTTTCTTTTCCATTAAGAAGGCATTCTTTTGACCTACCAACTCCACTTAGGAAATTCAACAAAGGCAACATACAAAGGGGCAACAATGACTAAATAAAATGCTTATCAGGCACTGTTTATAACACGAAAAAAAAAAACCCCATAAAGTCTAAATGGCAACAGAGAATTAGTTATATAAAATTATGTTATAGATATAAAACGGAACTCTTGGGTAGTAGTAAAAACCAACATGATGCAGACCTCTACTAACCTGAAAAGATGTTAGGATGCTTTGAGGCAAGAGACAGGTGGATGGGTGCTAGTTTAGATGTACAAATATAACATGTATAAATAGAAATGAGTATGTGTGTAGAGAAAATAGACTAAAATACAGAATAGAATACACCACAAAATATTTTTTAGGTGGGCCTTATATTCTTCTGTGTTTCTGCTCTCCCATATTTTCCAAATTTTCTGTAATAAATCTATATTACTTTCCTAAGTTTAAAAAGTGGTATAAAAGTTTTGCATCTTAAATGAAGGGACTCACCACCAAAATACACAAAGTCACTTCTTATGACTTTGACATTCTGAAATATCCTTTTGAAACTTATGTATTATACCTAAACATTTTTGTATTTTCCTAGATATTTACATTCTCTGTGCCTTCTGTTTTTCCTAGTAGTAAACGATAAACTGTTAAAAGCAAACTAAAAGGAACTAAATAACTCATGGCTTTTAGTCATATATAATAAGTACCAAGCACTATCCTACAAAATGCAGGCCAGAATTTTTTTTTTTTTCTTTTGGGGAGGAGTAAACTAAGGCTCTATGGCCACACTGGTAGAAATCAGCAGTGCTAAAATTTGAATCCTGGTTTGTATGACTCTTTTCCATCTTGCCAACCTCATGCCCCAACTTGTTGTGTACCAGAATCTATCAACTGAGGGCGCCTGGGTGGCTCAGTCATTAAGCGTCTGCCTTCGGCTCAGGTCATGATCCCAGAGTCCTGGGATCAAGCCCCACATCAGGCTCCCTGCTCAGTGTGAAGCCTGCTTCTCCCTCTCCCACTCCCCCAGCTTGTGTTCCCTCTCTCACTGTGTCTCTCTCTGTCAAATAAATAACGAAAATCTTAAAAAAAAAAAAAATCTATCAATTGAGATCAGCTGCACTAAAAAAAGAAAGAAAATCAAAGATTCTCCATTGGTATTTTAAAAATTCACATGCAAAACCCCCAGTAAAAGACAGCAGACTAAATGCCTACATTTATCTACTTCACCACCCTACAATAGTAAATTTACCAATAAAGGACTAAGAAACTTATAAAGCCACGATAACAAAGAGAATGAGAGATGAGCC